AGGCTAATCCTCTACCAAGCGTCCCCAAATAGATGCCACGAGGCACGCTGGCTAATACGTTACAATCACACTAAAATACTCTTTATTTTTATTGACACGTTGCAGCTTTTTATTGCTTTTAGTACGGATCTTCATATACACTGCATAACTTACCGGGATCGAGAGGATCGTGGTTACAAGGGATATGAGAACAGTTCGATTATGCTACTTGTTCTCTTATGGAGGGAATTATAAAGGAAATTATGGGAGGAAAATATGTAAAGACAAACAGTGTCAAGTTAACATTCAGTTAATTAAGTAATAACTTATAAAACTCGGGCCAAAAGCCCTCGGGCATTTTGTCCCTACTCGATCATTAGAACCCTTATAATGCCTTTGGTGCGTAAATAAATCTTCTAGCATCAAATTTACCGTTACCATGAGTATACCAAGTAACAATGCAACAAAATTTGCAGTGAGAAAACAGAATTGAAACCATATAGCACCTGAAGAAATTAGGAAATTGCAAGAAAGAAGTACATTTAAAAAAATACGTAAACATAGACCACGTTCATGAATAAACAAAAAGATTTAATAGATTTTGCAATTTTTATAAATAATATTTATTAAAATATTTATTTTGGAAATATAAATTATATTGTATTTGTAAAAGTTCCCAACAATATTATTTTACATATGTATGCAGTTATGAAAATAAACGAATTATGGCGTTTTGCCTAATTATTTTGATTTAAAATGTTGTTTGAATGAAGAAATTTAAGTAATTAGTGAGGTAATTATATTACAGAATTTAAAATAGTATTTCTACGCTTTCTATGCCAGTCGCTGAAGGATAGGTGCAGAAAGGGTAAATGCTCTTTTTTAGCGTGTTCTATTTCAACAATCCCATTCCCAGCGCCATGAATGTCAATTTGTCAAAGAATCCATAGACTAATGAATGCAGGGGACGGAAAACTGCCCAAGGGGAGGGCGTGGGAAGCGGGGAGCGGGAAAGTGGCAATGCCCTACTGAGGAGAGCGAGGGCGGGTGTTCGCCGCCTACGATCAGTCGCCAGCGCTTGATCAGAAGCGACCAGTTGTGGAATGCACTCGGGTGCCTACTGCTGGATGACAAGCCTCAGGTTGGTCACGGGCAGTGGTTTATCACAGTTTATAGAGCTCTATTCGTGTCTCTTTGTCATGTCCAATAGATCTTCCTGCGTACATTACAATTACTGTCTTGTATTCTAGAAATCTCCTGTACATTGTGAGTTATCGATCGTTCGCAAGAGCTCGATCAGAAGTGACTGGTGGCGGAGAGCGCTCTGGTGACCAGCGCTCATTTGGGAAATGCACAAAAAGTAATTTACTGTCTTCAACAGTACGTGTAATGAGCTCCCCCCTAAACATATTTGAATTTCGCGCTCTAGAAAATCAGTTTGACGCTAAGAGTTCCTTGGAAAGTTTTGTTCTTTCTCCACTCGGGTGGTGACGCAGTGACCCTCCGCTTGTCGAGTAGAGAGCTTGTTTGGTTTTCGATCGTGCACCGTAATTTCTGCTGACATCTTACACAGTGAGTTGTTTTTGTTATTAAACTGATTTCAGTGTATATTACTAGTAGCATGATATAAATTGTTAAACTGGGTGATGGTAAAATTCGTGTAAGAGTATCTTGCAATTTATAAAATATATTAAATACAAGTGTTGATGTTTCGGTAATGAGAGCCATTTAGTGGGATAATAGGAGCTAGTCTCCGAACCAAAAGTGTGAGGCCGAAGTAAATCGTAATATGCAAACATTGAAAGATGTTCTTTACTTAATGCCGCGTAAAGGAACTCTAGTCGTGGAGACGGAATCATGGACCCTAGAAGATTACAAACAGCCTTCAAGTCTATCGTTGAAAGTAGATCTATCCAGCAGATTGGCAGATTAATGGAAATTACACCACACTGAAAAAGCAGCATAGGGCAAAACAACGCGAAGATGTACAAGAAAGACTTTACAGTGGTCTGATCCGTTCGCGACTAGGTAGGCCATTGTTTTTCTGAACAAAAGCATAAGCAGCTCGCGGATTAGTTCGGCACTTTTGACTAAGAGAAACCACCCCAAGAGGCGTAATGTCGATTTCAAAATACCGACAAGAAGTAGATTTTCAGCTCCCGTCTACTAGCATTTGTAGGCATAATCACGTAACCTCTAGCTTCGACGCAAGCCACCAACATATTTTTCACGAACTGGAGTCGTTTATCCATATTTCATGGTAGCAATATAAAACTGGTCTCCAAAAAGCAAAATCGTTAATTTTAACTGCCTCACTGTTACGAAAAATGTTCCATGAAAAACTAAGGAAACAAACAAACAGAAAGCAAACACGAAAATCAACAATAGGACAAAAAAAATCTGCGTGTTTTGGAGGGATGGAAAAATGTAAGTACAAGAAAAGACCTGGTAGACCGCCAAAACGAAGTTAATGGCATTGATAGATAACGCATCTTGCATTTCATTTTGTGATGACGATTTCATCTGGAAGCACCTTTATTAGCTTCAGTCTTCTTAATTCGAATGAAACTACTATTTCGTTTAATGGTGTGACAATTGCATTTTTTTTTGTCAGCGCAGATTGTTTTGAAACAAATATATTTTCATGCTACTTTTAGTAAAAATAAATTTAAAATAAAATAATCATTCTAAAAGGCAAAAATTTTGGCATTTTTGATGTGCAAAGAATTGGCATCTTCTATGTTGTAATCTGAAACAACGTTTTTTGAGACTTAAATGGAAAAAGAGGAACCTGGTGGGTCAATTTGCTTTTAATTGTTATTTTTACTCTGTAGTGATAAATTTGATTTCTTGGATGATTAGATGTCAGGATGAAATTATTTAATAATCGACGTAAAATAAAAACCACGTGAGAAAAACAATGTATATATTCTAATTTCCTTAATAGGTCTTTTTATAGCTATTTCTCTTAGTTTTTCATAGAATCGAAAATGGAATAATGTGAAGAGTAAAACAGGAAACCATGAAATTTATAAATATTTAGTTACTACCAGAGATGATTTCGATTATTGAACGATAAATGGAACTGCTTCACCTGCACAATTTATTTGCATATGTCGGAGCGCTACGCAGTCTGGGACGAACTTCAGCTTCAAATACTCAAATTGTCTTCGTAGCCTGCCACGGTGCCTGAGTCCCGGAAATACGTTTAACGTTCGAGTGAGAGTTGAGGTTCTAAAGTAATGAGAATGTTATAAAAATTGTTATTTATGCACCAAGGGCGTTGTAAAGGTTCTAATGATCTAGTGGCGACAAAAAAAGCCCGAAGGCCTTTGGCCCGAGGCCTGTTTGTTGTCTGAACTGGTCATAGTTTAAAGTAGGACGAACTTCTCATATTTTCTTAAAAAATCAATAAATTGTAGAAAAAGTGAGATTAGATTTCAGTGCAATAAGATTTAGTAATTATCAAAATAGTGAAATTACTAACGAGGTGCACCAATTAGAGGTCTCTTCATATGAATGGACTTTGTAAAATCGTAAGTAGCAGAAGCAGTTTTGATTTTCAGTGTTTGCAGTTATTTGTTTCTTCATGGAGGGGGTGTATTTTTTGTGTTTGTACGTGAAAATAGAGCTGTCAATGGAGAGGTCAATTTGGCGAATAACATCGCCACATTCGGAAAGAAAGTTCTCAATTCTTTTTAACTATTTTTTGCCGTTTTCTTGAATATAATCATTGTAAGCAGATAACAAGAAGCCGTTTTTCATACGTTGAAATCAGAGTATATGTACTGGGGTTGGTACGCATACTGTTTTGTAAATGATGCATTTTCAGTGCTCGTTCGGAAGTACTTTCGATACATTTCCAGGCTGGTGTTTAAAAGAAATTGAACTTTCATGTTTGAATACTGTGCGTGTATGCGTCACATCCTAGAAGGTCTCGAATAAAAAAAATGTTTTGTAGAACATTATCCCGATGTCCAAAAGCGTCACTACTGAGAATAAAACTAAAAAATAATGCTCTTCAGTAGAGTGAAATGTCCTGGTGAGATATCAACACATTTATTTTACATTTTTAATTTACAAGTTAAGCGTTAAGTAAGGTCTCTCGAAAATGAAATGGGAAGTTAAAACTCACGACAAACAGTAAAAATAAGGACAATAAAAAACAATACAGTACAGTACATTCTTCCGATTTTGTCGCACATTTACGATATCTTTTTGTTAACAAAAAAAGGTATTTCTTAATGATTCAGATCCACCAATGTGAACTGACTACTAATACGACTACTAATATGTGACCACTAATATGAAATGGATATAAAAATATTTTTTGAAAGTTTAAACCCAGTATCTGTTTAATTTCCTACTAAAGGCGAATTTGAAGATTTAACATTCAAGATGTTATTCTCAAAAATGTATTAAGTTCAAGACAATTAATTTTCTATTTGTTTTTCGATAGAGATCAACATAATAAACGTTTTTACGGACGTAAGGGACACACTTTATAAGTATTGACTTCGGTGATAGGAATGGCATGGAAGGAGACAGGAAGGAGATAGGAATGACGGAGAAGAAGAAGGAGACGGAGAAGAAGAAGGAGACGGAGAAGAAGAAGGAGACGGAGAAGAAGAAGGAGACGGAGAAGAAGGAGGAGAAGGAGAAGAAGGAGACGGAGAAAAAGAAGGAGACGGAGAAGGAGAAGAAGAAGGAGACGGAGAAGAAGGAGAAGGAGGAGAAGAAGAAGGAGAAGGAGAAGAAGGTGAAGGAGAAGGAGAAGGAGAAGAAGGAGAAGGAGGAGAAGGAGAAGGAGAAGGAGAAGGAGAAGAAGGAGGAGAAGGAGGAGGAGAAGGAGGAGGAGGAGGAGAACACTATTGTATTTGTGAGTTAAAGTACTTGAAATTACTTCGAATTACATTTTTCGAAACTCCCAGATTTTCTGTGAGAAAGAGCTTCAAATGTCGAATTTACAGCAGCGCTTAAACGCCAGTTTTTTAAAAGCGGCTCCAAATTTTCCAAAGGAAATTGCCATTCAGGACGAGGTTTTACCGTTCTTTAATAATCTTAAAATAATATTTCCGCTGCAATTAGGAAACTGAAAAATTAAGAAAATGTCAAAAAAATGTACTTCGGGAGGCGATAGATGGCAGCAGTCAGGAATATGTGGCAAGTTCGAATAGCTAACCGAGACCAAGGGAAATACGAAACTAATACGGTTCCCTAATACTAGTGTGCCATTCTATAGCACCACTAGTTAATTATGAGCACTATAACATGCTAATGGAAGCAACATGCAAATGTCCACAAGACACAATGAAGCAAAGAGAAATTCGATAATTTTATGTAGTTTGTTTCTGAATATTTAGTGTCTTTTGTGTTATTGCATCATATTTAGTTTTTATGGCCCTAGAACGCTTCGTTTGGCCCTAGATTCGCTGTTGCAGCAACAACTAGAAGTATTATTGCTTGATAAAGGATGAAAATTGTTTCTACGCGTGTAGTACAACCATTGATTTAACGTTTTGCCGTGATCTACGTCTGCCCAAAAAAAGAAGAAAACGATAATGGCAAAGGTTGTCAAGAGTAAAGTCTGTGTCTTAGAGGTCTTGTTAGTGTTTTACCTCTACCAGTATTTTGGTTATTAGCAATAATTCAGTGAAATTTGTAAGTTACCTTTAAGCGTTCAGTCACGTAGCTTTCTCAAAAGCAAAAATAACTTCTAATATTTTTATGACTTTCACGGAAAGCGAAAAGCTATCAAAGAATATTGTATAATTACTTCAAATATTTTTAAGGAAGTGTCAATTGTACTAAGACCATCTCTCTACAAGACTAAATAAACCTTTATACACGTAAGCTTCCGCGGCTCGAGTTCTTTCATGACTTCTCAGCTGTCCGGGTGACGCCGCGTCGTTGGCTAGGAGGCCAATGTTTCGTCTGTCATGTCACAGGCTTCCTCAAGGGCAAGGACAGCCTTCCACTGCCAAGAAGGGAATAAACTTTTATTGAAAATTTGTTTCAAACTTCAACTGCATTGTTTTTATTTTTGTTTGCTTTTCAGTAAGTACATTAGAAGTTACATTTATACATTTTTTAAACATGTTTCATTAACTAAAGTCCTTCCTAATATGGAAATAGAAGGATAGCGAAAGGGTGAGATACAATGTGCGAGAATTCGGGTACATGGGTACGCTAGTTTATTTTTAAATTTGCTCAGGCTTTGGGGAAAGGGATAAAATATTGTCACAGGCAAACCGTTCCAGT